TAATATTGTAACCCTATGGGTATTTTTGTACTCTATTTTTGAAAAGAAAGAAAAAGCTGCCGCTCTGCTCCCGAGGAGGTAGGCATCTTTGCCCAACCTCGTTAAATTTTTGTGTTTTCTTTTTGGATTTGCGTTAATTCTTGTCTTTCTTCGCCCTAAAATTCTCCCTAAAATTCTCAACATCTCCATCTCCTCGTTCTCTGCGACATCGAGCAATATATTAAGTCTTTGTCACAGCTCTTCCTCAATAATGCCTCTTTCTCCATCAACCGATTCACCCAATTTCATTCTCATTTTGAAGCCCTGCAAGTCGAAAATGGCTAGAAATCCCATTAAAATTGGCCATTTTGATTGATCTGATTGATGGTCTCTGCCAAGCCTTTCACAATTTTCCTAGCCGCCTTACTATCTGCAGCGGAAAGCCTTCATTCCTGCAATGATGCTCCTCCACATCCTTATGAGCTCTTTACTCATATCAGTAGATTCGATAAAAGTGGACTTTTCCGCCATAGTTTGAAGCTAAGAACGGAGCTTCTAGCATTAGGTATAGATGAGACCGTTGATGGTGCGAGAGCCGATATAGTAGGGGTCGAAGCAGCAAAAGCGAAGCAAGAATCATGTGATTGACTTAGGATGATTTTGACCTTAACATTTAGGAACAGTGAAACGGTGTCGAGAAGCAAGAAATCACCAACAACATCACTATAAATAGCACCTCCAACGTCACCACCATCATGTCACCAAACAAATACCACCAAATTTGACACACGCTACCGCCTCCATGTCACTAAGAGATTAACATCAACATCCATACTACTAACATCACCACCAATATAACACCAAAAACCACCCTCAACATCCACACACCACCATCACCACCAACAACACCACCATCATGGTACGACAAAAAAACCATCACCCACACCACCAGTACAAACATCACCCCGCCAACATACCATTGTCAAATCCAACAAAGCGGGCAAATCACCAACAAGAACCAAATGGACAAGTAGGGTAGTAGCATAACATTGCAAGTCTGCTCTTTTTGAACCAAAAACAAAATAGAGAAAAGAGCCCCAATTGAGCAAGCCATACCGGGCAAAAAATAAAAATAAAATTTCTTTCCAAAGGCCAACAAATCGCAAAACCGAATCACAAATCACATGGATCAGAAAACGAAAGGCAAGGGCAATGCTAAAAATTGCATATGGCCTCAATTCATGCCCTTCCAACATAGAGCAGATCGCGCAAGCCACATAGGTAATTGTGAATGCCAGATATCGCAAAGGGGCTAACATAGATCCCTTCCAACATAGACCATAGAGCAACATACACACATGGGCAATAAAAAAATGTCAGAAACCGCAAATAGAGCAAAGCCAAAAATCGCAAAGAGCAAGCCGCACAAGACAAACCTCAAGACTAGAATAAAAAATATCAACACCAGTCGTATAGGGTAGAGAATATTGCAAAGGGATATGGGAGAGTCCCATCGGAACCGAAGATCAGAGAGAAGGGAGGAAGGAAGGAGATGAGAGATGCCACCATAATCGATGACCAGAGTTTGGGGGGAGAGAAGTGAGCTTGGGGAAAGATACGTGAGAAAAGCATGACACCAGGAAAAGGGGCACACGAGCAAAATGTGAAGGCAGAGTACATATTTCCCATGAACAAAACTCAAGCCATAAGTCAAACCCGTGGCCCACATTTACATCTGCTTATCCCAAAAACTTGCTGCACCATTCTTTCCAAACACCTTTTTCTGCATTTAGGGGTTGTGCCGCAGCTAAAATGTTGGCCCAACACACCCTTAGGCAAACGACATCGTTGGAAATACCATTATACCTAAATATGACATATAATTAAAGGAAGCTAGATAAGTGGATATTTTATGTAAGCGATCTCTTAAACTGATTATTTTGTATCATTTGGATGATAACTGCTTTAATTTAAAAGGAGGTGGCTTCTACAGTCGGGGTGTTATTTAATCAAATAATTTCCTCCACCGAAGAGTTTAAAAATTACCTAAGTGGTTTGGACATGATATCTCTTGAGATGATTTGCTATTTCTACAAACTACTTTTGAGTTCTTTTAAGTTTTCTTATTTTTTAAAAGTTATTTCAAGTTAACTCGTTGAACAAAGGACGACTTATACATACAAACTTATGACTAATTAGGGACCCTAAACTAATCGATCAAATAAAACATAACAAATAATATTCTCATAACAAAAAGCTAAGCAATTTTATGTTTTAAAATCACAAATGAAATGCAATTTACAACTCCGTAATCATAGAAATGCAACAAAACATGAATACTTGCAGAGCATAAAAACAAGAAAGCACAATATTTTTTATTATTATTTGATATAATATCGTAAATAAAAAAATAGAAAGAAACATAACACAATAATTTTTCAAGTCTAAACCCTAACGGTTCAACTAAAATTCTCATATACATGAAAGTTTAACGTTGTTTCCCAGCAACAGCAATGCTATTACGCACTGACGATCCACACAAATATGCGTCGATCAAATAGTATACATATATGAGTCTGTCTATCAGTCCCACAAGGAACTTGTTAATTTTCAAATCCAAAAAAGTTCTAGCCTACTGATTAAAAGTTTAGCCTAAAGTGTTTAAAATTAGTAATTTTAAACTTACTAATGCTAATTTTTTGTACGAGTAAAGCATGACTAAAAAAAGTGAGAAAGATGAGAAGTTTTCTATCAATTACAAAATTCTCCCCTGAATTAAATATTTAGGAATCTAAGTTTAACTATGTGATAAAATTTATGAATGACAATCAGGAATAACTCCTTATCAAATCTTGAGCATCTAAGAAGGTTTGAATATCAAATATGTTTATTATTCTAAATCAAGTGATTATCCATGATCTTGTATTCCCCCTTTATAATTGCACTAACTAAGAAGCAATATCTATATTCTCCCAAGTCAATATAAGTAAACCGAATTTGTACCACTAGCATACTCCCGCATAACTAGATAACAAAACATTTTAATGTAACTTTTAGCTAGATTGAAAGTTAATTAAGTGCTTAAGGTTAACCTATCACCTCTACGCGGTTTCAATTGAATCACATTATACACATTAAACACAAAATTTCTTAATTATCAATCCAAAGGAGTTGGGTTCTAGCGCCTAGGTGCTGAACTATGGCACTTGAAAGTTGGGTTTTAGCACCTAGGTACTACATATCCAGTGCTCCATTTTCCATTGATGTTTTTCACGCATAAGGTATTAGGCGCCAATCTATAGTGCCTAGGTGATGGACTATGGTGCCTAGGCACCATCAAATTGGCGTCTATTTTATGGCTTCTATATTTTGGCTAGATCAAAAACATGCTTGGGCACCTAGTCACTGCTTTGCTAGCGCATGGGTGCTGCTTTGATACTAAACATCAATCTCTATCATTTCATCTCCCATCAACCTTTTTACTTAGATCCTGCAAAATATATTATAAATACCTTCCAAATGCAAAAAATATAAAATTAGATTAAAACAAAACATGGAAGAACACATTTCAATTTTACACATTGAAATGCTTGAGAAATATATCTGGGATTCTTCTTTCGCTTTCCTAATTGTAGCTCAAATTGAATTTTATGTTCATTGATAGCTTCGTCGACAACAATTTATGCCTCAACACGATGTATGTGGTCAGCATATGAACCATCTATCAGATCAAGGAAAAGTAGAAAAAACCAAGATGTAGTCCCCCCAAGAACACACCTCTAAGTAACTCTGAATCTACTTCTTGGATTTGATGAGCTTAAATGAATAATCTCAATAAATAATCATGCAAGGGCTCCCCTTCACTTTGAAGGATCCCGGAAAGGTGGGAGGAGTCATTGATAATCCTTAGATTTGTGATGAATTGCTTCTCAAACACTTTGATAATCCTTTAATGTAACTTTTGGCCAAATTGAAAGTCAATTAAGTACATAAGGTTAACATATAACCTCTTTGCAGTTTCAATTGAATCACATTATACACATTAAATACAAAATTTCTAAATTATCAATCCAAAGGAGTTGGGTTCTAGCGTCCAGGTGCTGAACTATGGCATTTGAGAGTTGGGTTCTAGCACCTAGGCACTACAGATCCAGTGCTCCTTTTTCCATTGTTTTGTTCTTAACACATAGGGTATTGGGGGCTTAGGCGCCAATCTATAGTGACTAGGCGATTGACTATGGTGCCTAGGTACCATCAAATTGGCATCTATTTTATGATTTCTCTATCTTGGCTAGATCAAAAACATGCCTGAGCAGCAAGTCGCTGCTTGGCTAGTGCATGGGTGTTGCTTTAATACTTAACATCAATCTCTATCATTTAATCTCCCACCATTCTTTTTACCTAGATCCAACAAAATATATTATAAATACCTTCCAAAAGCAAAAAGTTAACATAAACTTAAATTAAAACAAAATATGGAAGAAGACATTTCACTTTTACACATTGATGTGTTTGAGTAATATATCTGGGATTCTTCATTCGCTTTCCTAATTGCGGCTCAAATTGCTTTTTATGTTCATTGATAGCTTCGTCGAAAACAATTTATGCCTCAACACGATGGATGTGGTCAGCATATGAATGAACTGTCTTTCACATCAATGATAAGTAGAAAAAATCAAGATGTAGTTCCCCAAAGAACACACCTCTAAGTAACTCTGGATCTACTTCTTGGATTTGATTAGCTTCAATGAATAATCTCAATAAATAATCCTTCAATCCCCTTCACTTTGACGGATCCCGGAAAGGTTGGAGGAGTTTTTGATAATCCTTAGATTTGTGATGAATTGCTTCTCAAACACTTTGGCGGAAATTGAATAAAAAC